GCACATGTATAGATACTCACATATTCATATGAACACACACACATATATCCTGAAATACATGTACACACACACACACACACACACACACACACACACACACACACACATATATATATATATATTATATACATAAACACACACACACATATATATCCTGAGATATATATGCATATATACGTAGAGAGAGAGTAGTGATGCAGGTATTAGAGTAAGAGACAAGTAGGTAGAAAAGGTAGGAGCGGTCATGTGGGGTGACAGCTTGACAGGATTGATGATTCCTAAAGAGTTGGAAAGCATTCTCTCTGGGTGTGTCTGGCAGGGTACTTCTGGAAAATATTGGGATGTGAGTCAGCAATCTGGTTGGGGAGGGCCCACTCTTAGTGTGGGCAGGTAACGTTCAGGCAACCAAGAGCCTTGATGAGCAGAAAAACTGCTCTTCCTTATGGATCAAGTTTATACTATTGCCTTTGGATGCCAGATTCCAGGTTCTACAGCTTTGGGACTTTGGAATGTGTGCCAGTGGTTTTCTGGGACTTCTTTAGCCTCAGATTGGTGACTGCACCATGGATCTTCCTGGGTCTGAAGCTTCCTACTTCTACTTTCACTGAACCAAGCTACAGCCTTCTTCACCTCCACAGCACGTAGAGTGCCTTATTGAAGGGTTTTTCGGCATCTGTGGTCATGGGAAGCAATCTTGTAGGAAATCTATTATGAATGTAATCTACCTATGGATTCTAGTTTATTGGCTGGCTAATTCAGGTGATATGGAAAGAAGAGTTCATGAGAGGATGATCTATAGAAGAACTGGAAGACAGGAGAATGGTGATCAGTGCATAGGGAAAACACTTGAGGATAGCTATGTTTAAGGTGTAGGGTGAGTATGCTTCCATGTTTCCTTGGATAGTTCTTGTATGTGCATATGGACCCAGAGAAATTATTAAAGAACACTGGTTTGTTTATATTACTAATTGTGTGATTACTTCTTTGAAGGATTTTAGAAGAAGATTTGTAGTTTGTATAATAATGCAACATTGCTATAATCCACAGAATTGCTGGTAAGATATTTGTTCTTTATTCACTGATACATTGATAAATGGATCTGACATGTGATGCAGTAAATGATGTTGTTCTGCTTCAAGGATGGTGGGGATATTGTATGGATAATTCCTGTGATGGTGATCCTTCCTCATCTTTGGCTTACTTTTCCAACCTTATCACCAACTCTGTTCTCACATAACACTCAACATCTGCATCCACTTTGAATTTTTAATGTTTTCTAAATTTTATAATTTCCTTCTGAAAGATTCCTTCTCCCAGAACATCCTTTATCTCTTAGATAGCATATTTAAATTTCTTCACACGTATTTATTGTGTGTGCACATGTGAGTATGTGTCTGTGTGCATGCTCACAAGCATGTGTAAACATGTGAAAGTGAAAGGACAGTTTGTGAGAGTTGGTTTTCTACTTCCTCTACGTGGGCTCCAGGGATGGAACTCAGGTTCTCAGGTTTGACAGCAGGTGACTTCACTATCACAGCCCGTGAAAAGGCCAGCTCTCCTGAACTGCTCCAGGGCTGTTAGTAGAAGACCTCAGTGTCGCGAGGCATTAGGAAAAAATTCTTTTCTATTTAGAGGCTGGACTTTTTCTATTTGAGGGTATTTAGAAATAAGTTTATGTTTATCTGAGGGGTAAAATAAAAAAACACACACATTCTGATGATAACTTTCTTTTTTACTACATCTTAAAAAATTTCTTTTTCTGAAAATCTCTGTCTCCACATAAATATGTTCCACATTGTTACAGTCTCCATATAGCCAAATTACATTTCACACTGTTACATTCTCCACACAGCCACATACCTCTTTTGCACAGTTGCATCTACACATTTCTTCTATCTGTTCTGTTACATTCCTTCATATATTATTCCATCATTTGTTCACTCTTTACTCACCCATTCTCTCATTGATTCACTCTCTCACCTTACTCTCACGCTTCCTTTATCTCTCACACTTCTCCGTCTTTCTCTCTGTCCATACAGCTGCATCCCTCACTCAGCACACACATGCACTCTTTCACCCCTCACTCACTCACCCTCTGCTCTTTACACGGTTCCTTGACATCCCTTCCTCAGCACATACCCACACACATACACTCTCACCCCTGCCCAGCTCTTTTCACAGTTTCTTCACATTGCTCTGCACAGCCCCCCTCTCTCTACACCACTGCTCCTCTCACGGCCAAACTCTGGACAACTGTATGATGCATTTTTCTCTCTGCCCACTCAGCTACATCCCTCACTCAGCACTCACACGTGCACACACTCACTCTTACCATCTGCCCAGCTCTTACACCATTTCTTACATCACTTGCTCAGCACATACCCACACACACTCACTCCTACCCTCAGCCCAGTCCTTTTCACAGCAGTTCTCTTCATAGCTTTTCATAGCTCCCACGCACATACTTACATACTCTCTCAATCCCTCTATCACAACCAAACTCTGGAAAATTATATGTTACATTTTCAGGGTCCAACCCATTCTCATAACATGATATGTGTTTTTCTCAGGCTAGTTAAGTCACAAAGACTGGCGAGTGAGTAAACACTTGGCCTTGCATGTAACTCTTTCCCAGACAGAGAATGTCCTTGAAATTCGGGATTTAACTATAACAGTAGCAGGCTGAACCTTGAGTGGTAGGGGTACATGGAGAAAGAGAATTACTGCAGGGAGTTATGTCTACCAAAGTTGCTTCAGTTCTGACCTTGAATCATCAACAAACAAACCTGGGATCTTATCTTTGTGTATTTTCTGCTGAGGCAGCTTAGTCTGTTTTGAGTTTGTTCTGAAGTCTAAAATTAGCTGTCTTAGTGACTGAGAATATTGTTACTTTCCAGTGTCAGTAAAGAATATTCTGGTGTTATTTCTATTCATCAGAATTACACAGCTTAACCAGAAATCATCTTCCTGACCATCCACAACTATAAATGTGCCCAAAGATGGAATACTTTTCATGAGATAAACACACAAGCAATGGGAAAACACCCATAGCATTTCTTAGGGAAGAAATGTAGTAGCACATGAGAAAAATTACAGACAGAAAGCAACTGGTTTCCACAGCCAGTGACCCATGGACTTTGCTAGATTGGGCTTCCCACAGAGAATTATTCATCTGTTAGGTCGACTTGTTGCACACTAGTTGTCACCTCCTATATATTCCCACGGCCCATGGTGAAGCCATTGTTACCAGCAGCTCTCAGCACTTTTCCCACTGAGCTACCTTGCTTGCCCTTACCTATTGAACTCTTCAAATGAGATTGTAACTCCTTTGCCAGTCTTCCAATCAAATATTATTGATTTCTTCAGTTGTAGCACTTATCCTTTTTCAGTTTGGACTCTAGTTTCTGGAAGATGTAAGTATGGGTGTATTTGTGGTGTGTTTTCATGATGTGGTTTTGTGAAAAGATTTCATATTAGTTTATAAAGTGAACTGCAGTAAAGCTCATACATATGCATATATACACATACATATATACATATGTACATACACACATATGAGCCATACTGAAGTGCAATGTGTATACACACACACACACACACACACACACACACACACACACACCTCCCATGAATACTATGGCTTGCAAAGGATCAACAGAAAAAAGTATTTATTGTAGCTAGTTTTCCTGCCTTGCCCACAGTCAGGACACATCTCTGTCACCTGCCAGTCCCATAGCCGCTCAGACCCAACCAAGTAAACACAGAGACTTATATTGCTTACAAACTGTATGGCCGTGGCAGGCTTCTTACTAACTGTTCTTATAGCTTAAATTAATCCATTTCCATAAATCTATACCTTGCCACGTGGCTTGTGGCTTACCGGTGTCTTCACATGCGGCTTGTCATGGTGGCGGCTGGCAGTTTCTCTGCCTCAGCCTTCCACTTCCCAGAATTCTTCTCCTCCTTGTCCTGCCTATACTTCCTCCTGCCTGGCCACTGGCCAATCAGTGTTTTATTTATTGACCAATCAAAGCAACAGATTTGACATGCAGACCATCCCACAGCAATTTATGGAATGCCTGCAATGTGTTAACCACTGCACAGCATAGAAGTTAATAGATCAACTGAATGCAAGATGAATCAATGCAGTGTAAATTTATGGAAGCCTCTATGAGGTAGGTGCAGACGCACAGGGGCAGGAGCTGATAATGATAAGGAAACCAAAGAAGCACCCTAGAAGAATTTACTAATGGGTTGGTTTTTAATTATTTATAGAAACACAGCAAGAATGGAGGGTGGGATGCATATGCACTTACCAAGAGTTAAAGGAAGTCCAAGCTGGGTAATGATTAGGACTGTGCACTCAATAACTAAAATACATACAATTAGGAGAACTGTTTTTTAAAGACAATATCAAAAGTAACCCTAATAAAGTAAAATCACACATAGAGCTATGAAAGACAAAAGGTTGGGTATGGGAGGCAATAGTGCTCTCTCTCTCTCTCTCTCTCTCTCTCTCTCTCTTTGTTTCTTCCCCCCACTCTTTCTCTATGAAAATTTCTGTCTCAGTGATTCAGGTTTTATACTTATTATTTTCTCACATGACTTCCATCATTCCTCTAACTTCAGTTCGGGCTGGAAGGACCGGCTGGCGAGAGAGCAGGGCAGAGGAACGTGGAAGCAGGCAAGTGTAGGTGGAGAGGCTGGCTCCCTCACCTTTCATTGTTAGAGAAATGAGTGTTGCTATTCCCACATTCTTCTTCTTCTTCTTTTTTTTTTTTTTTTTTTTTTTTTTTTTTTTTTTTTTTTTTTTTTTTTTTTTTTTGCAAGTGTTTGAAAATTGCATTCTTTGGCAGAGGTTGAAGATCATGAACACTTGGCATGTGTTACTAGCAGGAAGAAAGAAATAATGGCTGTCCATTCATATAATTGACACAGGAAGCCATCTTTTGTAGTCATCAAGAGTCTACGTTTGCGGAGCTCACCTTTCAGGATCAGAGGCCAAGGTGTTCTTTCTTTGTCCTTGTCAGTTACTTAATCTCCTCTACAGCCCTGGTATCCTTGTTATAAATTTGTTCCTAGTTAAAAAAACAAAACAAAACAAAACAAAAAACAAGAGAGTCAGTCATTTGAAGTGCACAGAAGAGTGTATGAAATAAAGGCTAAAGCATGTTTAACTATCACTAGCATTATTGTTATTATTCAGAATTTTGTCTGCAAATTTGGTATTTTTATATTTCTATGTTCTAACTGCATTCACTTAAATATTTTATTTCTAATAAATTAACCTAGATTGTTGGTATTTTCTGTAAAAATTGCTCTGCAACTGATGTTTGTGAACATGACAATGGGGTTGGGTATTACAGTACATGAACCTGCAAATCCACAAGTTAGATGGGTGGGTAGACTTTCTGTTTTTGTTGTTTAGTTCTTTCTACCCAGTTACTCACTCATGCTTCTGCTTACTTCTGTAGTGTCCTTTGTGCTTTAGGAAAAGTAATTAAAATCCCTTTGTTTTCTTATTGAGCAATTTCATCATTATTTTAAGCACAATAAACTTTCATAGAATGCACTTTAGTGATATTGTTTTATATGTTACCTAGAATCCACTTTGGTAATACTGACACCCCTCCACTGTGTCCCCTACTCTCTCCACCATCACTGCCCTCCCTACCCAACTTTGAATTTTCTTCCCTTCATCCCTCACTAAGCTCAGTTTGTGTTGGCCATTACTCTTGTGAGTGGGACCTGACCTGCAGTAGGCTACTCACTAGAAGTATGCCACTAAAGAAAACTGAATACCCCTCTCTCAGCAATTATTAAATGCCCATATGCTCTCAGCTAGTGATAGGATTTCATCCCCACTTTCCTCTTTCTAGTCCGGGATTTTGTCTGGCTTCAGCTTGCAGGTCTTGTATGTGTGTCACAGTAGCTGTGAGTTCTTATGTGCAGCTGCCCTGTTCTGCCTGGGAAAATCTTCCTTTGTGGTCATCTAACACCCCTGGCTCTTATAATCTTCTCCCAGTCTCCTATGATAATCTCCTCCTGGAGGGGAAGGATGTGATAGGCACCTCCCGTTTAGGGCTGAGCACTCCACAGTCTCTTATTCTTTTGTATGTTGAGGGTCTCTGGGCTAACTGTTATCTACTTGCAAAGAGAGATTCTCCAATAGGGTTTAGAGGCACACTAATCTAGGGCCACTTAGTAGAATAATAGTAGTAGGTTCTTCCTGGAGTTCTATGAGTTGCTACCCACTTGGTGTCCATTAACTTCTGAAGAATGAACTTGCATACATGTATTACTATAGTATGCATATTATAAGTTAAATTTTAAAATGAAAATGGATAAGAGAGAAAAATGTCATGAAAACATTTTCTCTCTTAGTCTATTATTGTTTTGTACACAGAAATAATTTTGTAAGAATCACTTGCCCAGGCTTTGTACAAGTTGTCAACGTGTTGGTCTGTCGCCTCAGTGAACAACTCTAAATTGTTTACTAGGTCTTGCTTGTGTTGATGTTAAAAATTCTATAAATTGAGTCACCAACTACCATTATACCCTTGGTAATTTAAACAAATTATATCTATTATCATAACACCTCTAAGCAAAACACATTTTCTGCTCTCCCAACTACAAATGAGGAAATTTAATAGATAAATACTTTTCCTGTAGAAGATAACGTGTCTTTATATGGGGGTCTTAGACTGGTCTATGGAGTGATATGAAATGGAAGACTCCTCCCTATTTGGTCTGTAGTTTTCGTGTGCTCCTTATGACCACCTTTGCAATGTTATATGTATTCAGCTTTAGTTTTGATTCAGAATATTTCCCAATCTGAGTGTGTTCCTTGCTTCCTTTCTTACCTTTCTTTTAACTCCATGACTAATAGATATTCCCTTTTGTCCCTATTCATGAATCATCTCTTGATGATGTCTTGGTCTCTGAAAGAAATAATGATGTGAAGTTTACACCACATTATTTTTATTTTACTACCTATTTTATAATACTTATGATTATGTGTAACAATTTCATATTAATTTATAAAACATAATTTGTGTAGATAAACCTTATAGTTCTTCTTTCACCCTTATATCATGTTTCATATATATTCATATATATCTATATATATAGTTAAATGTGCAGATATGTAAAAATCAAAGAAAATCTAAAAAAGAGAGTAGTGAAGGATCATGTACGCAAGACCATTCATTTTAAACTCATCTCTTGGTTGATAGTTCAGGTATATGTATAATTATTTCCCTTATAGTCAGTCTTAATCTGCTCTTGTTTCCATATCTGGTTTTAAGTGTCACTCAGAAGCATGCTCTGATCATTTTCTCCTTGAGCAGTGTTTTATGCTATCTCTAAGGCTTTTCTTTATCTACACATTTGCTTATATCTATTTCCCCAGTGGCTTGACAAGTTATAAGAAATACACTTTAGAAGAGTAATCTGGGATTCAGTGTGATGTCTTCAATCATCAGCAATGAGCTGGTTCTTGATCTGGACCTTGTTAGCAGCAGAGGAGGAGAAGAACATCATTTTTTCTTGTGAAGTTCTGTGTAGGAATGTATTTCTTAGGGGAGACTCTTTCAGCCTGTCTTGGGGTAATGAGGAGCCAAAAAACAAACCAAACCAAACCAACCAACCAAACAAACAAAAAACAAGTGGCATTTAGGTTGTAGGCTTTCTTGTTGAATGTCTGAGCTTTAATTTCTGTGAAAGAGATCACTGGAAATAAAGTGTTGGCCATCTACTGCTGGGTGTGGGACCTATATTTAAGTGAGGTAGGGGAAGATCTGGGGAGGAGTTGAGGGAGGAGAAGCCATGATCAAAATATATCTTAATATTTATTTAAATGTATTGAGATGAGAGAATATCAAAGAGAGAGTAGAACATTATCTTTTGTTGTTGTTGTTCTTGAACCTAAAATGCTGTTTATGTGAATGGCTTTTCCCTTTTTACTGTGCTTTTTAGATCTTTACATGTGGTATGCATGCTCTGTTTTATTTTCTGTAAGGCCTTTAACACAAGTCCCTAAAGAAGCAGCCATTTCTAAACCATCTTTATACAATCTTCTAATTTTCTAGAGGTCACACAGCTCAAATACAGTTCTGTGCCAGAGTAAGGAATTTAAAATGCTTCTTTGGTTTCTGAGGAGAGTCACCTTTAAACTCTCTGGAAGTGGCACACACAGAAATGCAATTTTTAGGGGTGTAGAATAGTTCCTGCAGCCATCTATCCTGGGTGGAATGGATGTGTCATTTTACTTGTGCAAACTTGAAAAAAAGAAAAAAACAGGTTGGTCTTCCCAGCAAGACTTGCATGACAATAAAGGAGGATTGCTGCTAACAAAGAAATAGCTTTCATCCATCACTGCAGGAGTGAACATGACCCTTCGCTGATGAGCTACAGATTCTCCCCTTCCATCATCCATCTCTCTAATGGGGGATACCAAGATGTTTCAGCTGATGCACTGAGATCGGGAGATGATTAGGGAGAGCTTCGTCCCTTCACATTTCAGAATATCGGAAAGATCAAATGAGGGGACTTTGACAACGTAGGGTGATAAAATGTACACGTTGTGAGGAACATTTAGCCTTTGAAAGCACAGATCCTTTACCTCCTCTGTTCATTAGTCTCAGCTTGAACCACATTTCCTAAGTCATATTTACAAAAATATTTCTTTAAAGATAAAAGTTCCATATAATGAAAGTGGTCTCCTCTCACACCGCCCAACTGCTGCAGTCCTGTGAGGAAAATCACAGCAGATTATTTTTCTTGTCTTAATATCTTATTTTTTTAGACAATGGAAATGTTTCCTTGTATCGTAGTTAGCTAAAAATGGATTCTACAAAGATCACCAATAGACTCAGGCTGGTGATAGAGCTTCCTTAAGGACTGTCTTAAATGTTGGTTCCCCGGGAACGCTGTTGACAAAAGTGGTGATGGGGTCTTAAGGGGATGGGGCCTTAGTGGGAGGTCATTTTTAGGTCTCAGCCCCAAGTGTTTTATGAGACACAACTGTCCCGTTCAGTCCTCTTTTCACCCTCCTGTCTATGAGGCGAGTAGCTCTGTTCTTAAATGCGTTCTCATCTTACTGTGCTGATCTAAAAGGAATAGGGCCAACAAATCATGCACTGGAATCTCCAATACTATGAGCCAAATAGACTTTTTCTCATTATAGAACGATTGTCTCCAGTTTTTGTGACCTAATAGAAAGCTGACTTAACAAAACCAGGAGTTTTCATGAGCACCATTTATCATTTTAAGGACTGGAATTGCTGTATACTAGAATGATACAGTGATTCAGCCAGTTTTTTATTTCCCTTCATGGTGACTCTAGAGTTTTTCATAGCATTATAATAATATAATGGTATCAAAATCATAGCTCTGTTTCTTTGGACACTTGCTTAAGGACTTAAAAATACAGAGCATAAAATGAGTATCACATGTAAAGATCTGAGATCTGAGATGTGTGGTAAATGTAAAAGGCCTTCTAACTGTTGGTTGACACAAATAATCTTGTTTCAGTTTAAAAAGTAAAAGAAAACATTCATATCAGCCTTGAAACATATAACCACCCCCATTAACAGCAATAATTAATATGTTCTAAATAACATGTATCTCAGAAGAAAATATTTTTTTTCCAAAAAGCACTATCATAATCATTTGTTGAATATCTGTTAAACGTAAAGAAATTTATCAGCGTTTTGTAACATACAAGGTCTATATTTAGAGTTTAGGCTTAAAAAGTGTTCCAATACATTTGAGCAATCCAGACACTCCAGCTTTGCTGCCTGTTGGGTATATAGATCCTCTATTGGGTCTGTTCTACACTGTAGCTTTCTTCTACAGTTCTACATTCCAGGAATATCTAATATACTAAAGCCTCCATTGGTATTTAGGCTTCCCTATCACACCTTCACATGGTGGCTTCTCAAGGCTTCCTTGTAGGGTATTGGACCCTGCCACAGATTGCCTGACCTCTCAGCTTTTTCCTGGAATCTAGTGTGGCCTTTCATAACTCTGTAACTCTTTTTTTTTTTGTCTGAAAAACAAACACTATGCTAAAAATTTCAGGTGCAACTTGGCCCCTTTTTCACCATAGCTGAAATGGCTTATGTGTGTCTGGGAAGCTGAACTTGGGAAAAGCTTTCCCTAAGAAAGGTTTTGAGCAGGGAGTCCCTGGCAGCCACACTCTTTGTGCCTCTGAAATGAAAATTTATTTTTCAACCAAGAGTCTTTGATAGCTGGAATTTTGCTCTCCAACCATCTTTCCTATCCCCCCAGAACAGAGTGTGCATTTTCACATTAATTACAACAGTCTCTTTAATATTTAACCATTTTCTATAGTCTTAAATTTATTCAAGCTCATTTCCTTGAGAAATTGTGTTTTCCACATTTGTCTTATCCTCTCTGTTCTTTTGCACCACAAATCTAGCTATGAGCAGTTGTTAGCAATAACCATGCTGTAGTCTGAATGCTATTTCACTCACTACAAATCTAGCTAAGAGCAGTTAGCAATAACCATGCTGTAGTCTGAATGCTATTCTGTCTTGGAATTTCCTCTCCTAAACAACCTAGGCTATTACACTTAAATTCAGCCTCTCAAATTTTTTAGGAGATGAGCCAAATGTACCCATATTATTTGCCAGAATATAACACAATCAGCCTATAGACAAATTCCCCTACAGTCTTTATTCCTTCTGAACCCCCCCTCATGAGCCTGGCCTCTATTGCTCACCTTTTTTTGGCCTTCAGATCTTCTGAACTCCAGCTAGAGTGACCTATTAGGTTCTGTTTATTGTACTTTAGGACTTTTCTGGTTCCAAACATTTCCATATTTCTTTCACAATCTAATTCTAATGACCTGACCTAGAGTTGGGTTTATTATAGCCAGGACTCCACTCTCCGGCTCCTATTTTCTGTAATAGTTGCTTTCCTCTCACTTAGGGCAAAATCCATGGCAAGAGGCACCTTGAGGGAGGAAGGCTTCCTTTTGTTTCGGCATTTAATCTGTCCTGAAGAGAAGGACGCTGTAGGAGGAGTGGCCCCCACTGTCTGGAAGCAAGAGTATGTGGCTGTTTGTCTATCAGTCACATCAGCCCTCACGAAAAAAGGGGCGGGGGCTATCTATAAACATGGCTGGGTTCTGACTCCTGTCACCTGCCCCCTATCCCCCTGAACACTTGCCTTAGGTAGGGCCCCCCTCCTAAAAGCTTCAATGACCTCCTTTAAATAATGCTATAAACCAGGAGCGAAGTGTTCAACATCTGTGATCTTTTTTACACACCAATTATAAGAATACTCAATTTTGTATGTTATTTAGTTCCCACAGGAAGGTTTAATCTTTATTTTCTTATAGTTAGGAATTCAAATTGGTCTCATTCCTCCCCTCCTCTTCCTCTCCCTCCTCCTCCTCCTCTTCTTCTTCTTTTTCATCTTCTCCTCCTCCTCTTCCTCTACCTCCTTCTCCTTCAAGACAGGGTTTCATGCTGCCCAAGGCAGCTTTGAATACACTTTGTAGTCAAAGATCACTTTGAATTCGTAATTCTTCTTCCTCTACCTTCTAAGACCCAAAATTATAGGCATATGCCAGCATTCTTGACTTTTCCAAACTTCTTTTAGTATTCTAATAATACTACCTAGCATTTGTTAAAGCATGTAGATGAAATGAATGAAGTCAAAGTGATCTTTGTCTAGTTGTAAAGGTAAAAACCCATGAATACACATACATATTTAGTTCACATCACCAGAACTGTTTAATTTTGAAGATGTTGGAAAGTTCAGATCACAAAGCAATTTTTACTTGGATTTGGGTTTTGTTACTTTTATTGAAGACTCTCAGTGATTTGGAATATCTTTGGACCATTTAAAAAGTGGGTATTTGCCAAGTGGTGGTGGTACATGCATTTAATCCTAGCACTCTGGAGGCAGA